ATGAAAGCACCTGGGGATATGTTTTTTTCTAAAAAGCATCCAGGCCATATTTGCTGTACTTGCCAACTCAAATTTTCTAATATCTGCACAGCTTGCTTGTGAGCCAGGACTGACCTTCTCCTTGGCCAGAATGATGCAAGAGGCAGCTGCCTTAGGCCAGCTGTGCCCTCAGGCTGGGCACTCTCAGACTCCATGTGAGCAAAGCCCCTAGGAGCCAGGTGGGGCTCCCAATGTGTAATGAAATGGTTAGTAAGTGCTGCTGTGGCAAAGAGGACTCTCAGGTTCCAGGGCTCTCTCTCCTTCCACTGAGAAGGCTGCAGGTCAAGTGGTGAGGGTGAGGGATAGGTGTTGGCTCAGGCAGTTCAGTCTCAGTTTGGCTGCCATCCCCATATAGGTGTGCATTGTTGCCTGTGCTGTTGGGGAGCCAGACCAAGGAAAGTAGTCATTTAGGTTTAAGGGACACCTGTTCTCCATGCTAACTTAGCTAACCTCTGTGACTTGTTGGCCTCAACTCCTGCACCTAATGGACATCAGTAGTAACAGCTCACCCTGGCTGCCTGGAGATTAACTTTTTGTCAGGCACCTGGAGAGGAGGTGCAAAGATACTGGGGATATATTGGTTCTCACAGAGAGAAGACACAGCCAAGACACAACTCAGGGCTACCTGTAGCCTTCACACCATGCCGCTGCCCCAGCCTCCTACCCAGACAGCTTCCTGGATTTCAGAAAATCTTGGAAGAAAAATGAGGACAACACCCATTTTCTGCTGAGCCAGGAACTGTGTTGATTCTGTTGATGCTTCATGTGGGTTTAGGCTTGCAGCACGGCAAGACAGTTACCATATGATATTCCCATGTTACAGGTGAAGAACCCAAGGTCTAGTGAGGCAGTTAGCCAGTTCTTGGGCTAGGTGACAGGAATAGGGACAGATTCCTCTAAGAGAAGGGGGGCGGGGAGGAAAAGAGAAGGAAAAGCAGAGAAGAAAAGGGAGAAGGGAGGGGAAGGAAATTCAGAGGAGAAAAATAAGTCCATTGTGAGGCCCTTGGAAGGGTAAGTTGGGGCTAAGAGTTGAGTTCAGGCCTTCTGGGTGGAGGTGGACCTTACTGAGCCTCAAAGGGTCTCTGGCAGATAGACAGGACCAAGTTACTTGTGCTCCAGAGCCTTGGGCCCAAGCCTCAGGCACCCAGTTCCTAGCAAGGCATGAGGAGGGTCCTCTCACTGGTCAGGCTGAAACCCTGTCTACAGACACTAGCTGTGGGCATGAGGCAGGCAGGCAGGACCTCCACAGAGCCAGGGAAAGAATTTCCCTGGGCCACACCCTGGGAGTCCAAGCCTGGCATGTTGTGAGTGTGTTGGGGACACAGCATATTTGACATGGGGGTAGGCAGGCAGTAAGGCTTGCTGGGGGCCCTCAGAACCAACTGACTCTCCTTGAAGCTGCATCTAGTGGAGAGCAAACAGAAACATCCATAGGAGTAGCAGTACAGTGGTAAATACTATCATTACTTATGCCTAGAGAGGGAAAACTGAGGTGCAAAGCAATTAGCTACAGCACTCACAATCAGCCTCAAAGTCTATGCTTCTAGTCTCTATATCAATATACTTGCAGGAGGGACTGGGATCCTATCCTATGCTCACTCTGACCACATCTGACACTAAGCAGGAGACTGAGGGGTCTCCATTGGCAGTTCCTGGAATGCTGCCTGGCCTCCAGTACCTGCAGGACTGGGCTGTGCTCCTGGCTTTGTTTCTCCATCCCTGTAAAGACCTAGGGCCCTGTTTCCTGTCCCTGTACTCAACCTCTACTCCTAAAGGTAGTTCTCCCCAAGTCCTGACAGCCACCTGGGTCCATGGTCACAAAGCATCCTGCCCTACCTCCTACCCCCACCAGCAGTTCTTCCACACCTGGGCAAGCCTGCACCAAATACAAGATGGGATCCCTGTCCACTGGGCTTGATCTCTGTCCTTCCTTCCCTGAGCTGTGTTTTAGACCCAGACCCAAGGGAGCTCCATGTAGGCCTCATCTGCTCAGAAGCAAGGAATGCTGAAGGAATAATGTGAGCTACCCACCCTCAGAACACCTTATCCTGTGTTGGAGGCAGAGCCTCACAAACACTATTTTAGTCACTTCTTCCAGCCACCAAGAGGAAAGAACACTATTTCAGCCCCCATTTTAGAGATGACAAAACTGAGGCATAGAGAGATAAAGTGACTTATGCAATAGCACATGACTATCAGTGGCAAAATTCAAACACAGGTCTGACTTACTTCTAGCAGAAGCCCATATCAGAACCTCTTGTGGTACTATTTTTTTAGATGTGGATTTTCTATAGAGGTGGGGCCCAGGAATCTCTTGATAAAAGTTGCCCTGTTGATACTCCAAGGTTGGTTATGAGCAAGGGTAAGCAGAATTAACCACACTGTGACCCACCTCCTCCCCCAGCTCCCATATAACTTTTCAATGCCTGTGACAGCCCACACCCTTCAACAGTGTGGCCAAGCCAAGTCCTAAGTCTGGGCAAGATGGTGATTGTGATTTATTGAGTACTTATTGTGTGCCCAACACTGAGATCTACTTTCACACCCCCTTTTTTAAATCTTCATTCCTTCTGAGAGGAGGATGTATACAGTTGGAAACTATGGCACAGAGGGAGATGACTAGGAGAAGCCAGGGCAAGGAATAGGACAGGGAACCTCCTACATACTCTCTCCAGGGCCCCTGGGACAAAATGGAGAGATTTCTTAAGGAATCAGACTAGCCTCTTTGGATTCTGTCCCAACAGGGCTCTGATCTCACTCCGTGGGACCTCAGGGAGGTGGCATTCATTTCTTCTCTACTGGGGAAGGAAGTACCTCCCTACTGCTCTGATGTTCTGGATCCTAAGCCAATGCACAGTACCAGGCAGGGCTGAGTCACTCTCTGCCTACAGTCTGAGGCTAGCAAGCCCAGGGTTTCACAACTGCCCTTTACTGGGTGTGCCTTCAGTCAGGTCTCTGAACATGCATGAGGGGAAGGTCTACAACTATATCCATGTATGAGAACATATATGTATGCATGCATGCCCACATATGTGCATATACATGTATATACAGTGGTACACAAGTGAGGACCCCGAGACACTGATGTAAGAGGGCAATGCACTCACCATAGTGTCAGGTGTACACTCAAGACCACAAACAGTGGAGGTACAAAGAAGGTGGAAGCGAAGAGGGAACCCAGGCAAGAGCATCACCTCAGACAGGACACACAGAGCCAAGCAGACATCCAGCCTGTCCAGGATCAGCCAAGGTCTGGCCAGGGTACTCCCTGGGAGATGGGGGTGGGGGCTGGTTGGAAGAACAGACCCAGTCACCCCTCTTCCTTCTGCATTCTCCTGCCACAGGAGGCTGTTGTAACAAAGAAGTACCCCCTCCTTCCCTGCTCAGGTTCCTTCGCTGCACATAGCCCTGAGTGTGTAGCTGTGGTAGCCATTAACACCAGAGTTAGGGCCTATCTACACCCAAGGGAGCTCTCTGCGGCCAACTCCAGCCCCATAAATCCCAGGGGCTTAGGCCTTGGGCATAGGTAGCAGGCAACACAAAAGTCTGATGGCTGCAGGATGGTTCTACTGAGCTGGCAACTCTGTGTCCTGGCCTCCTGCCAGCAGGCCCACTCCGCACATCCTGGTTGGCAGAGCCCCCAGCTAGTCTCTGTCTTGGCAGCTCCTCCTCATGCTTGCAAGGATGACTTCACTTTGACTTCATACCTGCAGAGTGATGTGCAGATATCCTAATGAGCCCCGAGCTCAGTCAGGCAGGAGGTCCCAGCTCTGGGCACAGCAGGAAGAAAAGACCCTAGAGTAGTGGCCCCACAGGCCTAGCTACCCTAGATCCTCCCACCCCAAGGTTTCTTTTCCTCTGACCCAGGTGGAGGCCAGGCCTCAAAAGGCAACTACAGGGTGGGAGAAAAACAGTGGACTTTTCCCACAGAAACATAGAACCCACCTCACCTTAGGAACCCCCTGGTAAGGCCACTGGGTTTCCCCCTTTTAGGATTACATTGCCAATATGTGTTTGTGGGCATCATTTCTTTGGGTGAAAATTAAATTTTGTGGCCCCAGTTCCACCCTGCTACTCTCTCTCCTATCCAGTCAGTCCCACATCCAAAGAGTTCCATTGTGGAGGGGGTGCGGGGTCGGGCAGAATCTAGCCTCCAAGTACCCAACTAGGCTACCAGCGCCAAGTCTCTTTGAAAGGTGTGCCCAGGCCCAGTTTCCTGCTCCCGTTGGTTGCACCAGTCCTAAAGAGGTGGTATCACAAACTGACCCCGGAAGACCCCTACCCTCTTTTCCACCGCAAACGCTGATATTGTAAGCCACACCCCAGGCTTGTCCTAGGGTTCCTCAGAAAGCACAAAAAGTGCTTTGGCTCCCCTGCCCTTGCCCTGGCTCTTCTCCTCCCGCGTAGAGCTCCAAAAGGCCGCGTTCCCAGCTCGCCTCCCGCTCTGAGAAATGGCGGAGGATGTACTCCGTGCCAGGGCTTTGGAAGAGAAGCACCATCATAGTCCCTATGTCCACTCGGGTGCAGCTCAGCCAGGCCTCCCAGACCCCACATCCCCGCGTAGTTTCTCCCAGCCCTGTGTGGGCAGCGGGGAAAGGCGAAGCGCTGGGACCGCAAGCTGGCGCACAGGCTACGAAAGAGTGTCTGGGCTTGAGAAGGGGCGTAGGTTGGGCTGTGGGTGGCAGGCCTGCACCCGGAGCCCTGCACCTCGCTCCTACTCCTGCTCAGCCCAGCCCAGCCCAGGTCCGTACTACTACCAGGGCCTCCCCGGATCCGCACCAGCACTCACCGCACCAGTATCCCAGTCCCACCCCTACTCCAGCCAAGCCGGCCTCCCGGCCCCGCCCCTCCCCGCCCCGCCCCGCCCCTGCCAGCACCTCTTCCGCAGCCAGCAACAGCCTCGCCTAAGCTTCGAGACCAGAGGCCGGTGCACAGCACCGCAGAGCACCCAGAGTCATTCCCCTACGCTCAGCGTCTTCAGTGTCTCCTGCGTCTGGAGCGGGATGGGGCGGCTCCGCTGAGCGCCGCACCCAGCTGCCAACAGCCCCTGCCAGAGCCACCAACCACTTGCCGCGGCTCCGGGGCGCACAGGAGATGGCTAGGGCGACGGCTGGCACCGCAGGGCTGCGGTGGCTGCTGCTGCTGCCGCTGCTCAGCGAAGGTGAGTCCTACTGGCTGCCGGTACCCGCAGCGGCCAGGGCGAAGTTGATGCCGCGTGTGGAGCGGCAGAGTGGACGTGTTCCAAAACACTGTGTGCAGTGGGCATCAGGCAGCGCCTTTTCGGGCTGAAGGGACGGCAGGGAACGAGATAGTGTAAGTGAGCAGGGAACCTAGGGAGGGCTCGGAGTTGTGCGAGTCTAGGGCTAGAGAAAGAATAGAGCAAGAAGTGTGCTAGGCCGGGCTGCAGGGATCGGCGCCCAGAGTCCGAGATGTAGCCTCACATCCCAGCCTGGTGATTCTTGGAATAAAGCGGACGTATCTTGTCGCGGTACCGGAGCAGGTAGGGGAGGACAGACGAGGTAGCGGTATAAAACCTGCGACCTGCGCAGGGAGTTCTATTTCTGCAGAAGATTGAGCCCTGGTTTCCTTTTGCGCTTCACCTCGGTGCATTCCTCCTCCCTGTAGGATCCTCTGTGCCGTGGCGGTGCGGAGGCCAGCTGCTTTAGAACACACCACTGTCGGGCAAGTCCACCTGAAGGTGAGGCCTTTGGGTCCATATTGACAGCCCTGGACCAACCTTTACCAAGAGCTTTTGACAATCTTAGAGTGGGCTCTAGGCCTCTGTGCCACCATGTTGGTGCAAGGTGCTAGGAGTATTAAATATGCCCTTGCAAAGGCTGGTCACCGCCTCCCCACCCCCAAATCCTAATAGGATGAACCCCGAGGCTATAGAATCTGACCCCCTTGGCCATGCATTTTAGCATTTTAGTTTCCCTCAGACTGTCCCTGACTGGTCTGCACCTGTAGTACCTCTGTATGCACCAACTTTTCCTTAGGCAGAGAAGGAACACTGGCCACCCTCCCCCCACTGCTTACAAACAGATTTCCCTCTCTGTGGCCTTTGGGTACAAAAGAGGAGGTGACACCTTGCCACTAGTCCCAGGTCCTGCATAAACTCTGGGTTCACAGGCCTGCTGGAGGCTTAGTTTCTGTGACTGGATCTTAGTATCAAGGATCAGATACTGAAGCCATAATGGTCCCCAGGGTGAGCCACCCTTTCTTTGCCCTTGGGAAGAGTGGGAGGAGTGAATCTGTTTCCACTGCTGGTGCTCCTGTGTCACAGTGCTGCAGGAGGAAGACAGGTTGTAAACACAGGCAGAGCAGAAGTAAACACAAACAGGCTGTTTTAAAGATTTTTTGTAACTCTTGGGTTGCAACTTTGTAATTGTGGGTTTGTAGTCAGGTGTAAGCCAGAAGCAGTGTGGGCAGCTAGCCACTGGCCTCTGGCAGGGACAGGCTTTTCTACGCCCCTGGCCCATGGAGTTGGGTGGTCAAGACAGGCTCTCCAACCAAGGGAAAGTGAGACCCACTCTGCCCACCCTTCCCTTGGGATGACCAAGAAACCACAATTGGTGGCACTGAAAGTAGAGAAGTGTCCCCACAGCACCCTAGAGTAGACAGCTGAGACCTTTGGAGAGGCCTGTGGGCATCCTTTGGAACTACAGACCCTGATTCTCTGTGAGCTGCTCCAGATTGCCACTGCATCTATACCCACCCAGGTTGGGAGCAGCTCAGCCTGCCAGTGCCCTCTTGTGGATATGTGCTCCAGTGGCCTTGTCTGTTGCCTGGGGGGTGGGCTGAGCCTCTAGAGGCTGAAGGCCATGCCCTAGCTGGCCTCCCTAAGACAGAAAACTCCCTTCTGTGCTGGAGGACTGACAGGAGGGGGTGAAAGAGGCAGCCCAGATAAAGAGGCAGTGGCCAAGACCAGAATGCAGGGAAAGGAGCAGCACTGACCCATGGCTGGTAGGGGCGGGCTGGAGGACCCAAAGAGGCCCAGAGCAAGGTCATGAAATATAGATTGACAACCACCCCCCAGCAATACCAATCCTCCTGCCTCCTCACCACATGTGCACATTCTTGTTATGTGTAACCATGTACACCTTCAGAAAAGTGTGCCAACCCAGGCACAGACTCCCAGAGCAGGGCAGGACTCCTCCTCTCACCCACACCCTTGCATCCATGCTCATACTCACACTCAGTCATCACCAAGATACACTCCTGCCCTTTCTCAAGCACACATGCCCATGATACCTAAGGGAAACTCCCACAGCATGGCCTGGTCCCTCACACTCCACCCTCACACAGGGAACACAGACCCTCTCCCTGCCACTCATATACACAGGGATTCTGCATATGTATACAGGTCTCATTTTAATCATAACCAATTGCTGGAAGGAAGGACTTGCCCTCTCTTGCTGGGGACCCCCAGGCCTTTGACTCCCAGGCACCAAAGAAGGGAAATCTTTTCATGACTTGGCAGGCCCCCTCCCCAGGCTGCTGTGCCCACTCCCCTGTAGTGGGTCCTGGGCAGGTACTCCTGCCTGGACCAGCAGGTACCAGAGCAGCCTGCTGGCCAGGAAGGCTGCTCTATCTAGCCTTCCTTTCTCTTTCAGTTTCTCTCTTCCTTTGGGCTAAGGACTAGTAGAAAATGGATTCTATTCCCAGCTAGGGCACATGCCTGGGTTGCAGGCCATGGCCCCCAGCAACCACACATTGATGTTTCTCTCTCTCTCTATCTCCCTCCCTTCCCTCTCTAAAAATAAATAAATAAGATATTTTTAAAAAATCAGTGAAATACATTAAAAAAAAAAGAAAATGGATTCTTTTTTGCCAGACTCACCTAGACCTTGTCCTCTTTCCTCCATCCTGCCAAGACCCTCTGGCCTCTTGGAGCTGCCTGTGTCCCACACTGGCTGCTCTAGGCCCCAGCAGAGCTCAGTTTACCCAGAAATACAGGGCTTGAGCCAGCCGGTGGGCTCCTAAGGGTGGGGCCTGAGAGCAGGGCACAAACATGGAAGTTTATTGAGCACACTGCTAAATTGCCTTTATTCTGCAGAATTGCTTAGGGATGGCTAAGTAAATCACTGTTTCTTTGGTGGTGTGAAGAAAATGGGATGCATTTACCTAATGGGAAGCTAATGGCCTTTTAGCCAGGGAAAGAGAGAACTAATTAAAAATTATGGTATGTGTTAAAACAGAACCTGAGGTGCCAAGATAAAGGCAGGACCCTGAAGCTGCCACCTCCCCTGAGGCCTTCCCCCTCTCTGCAACCTGAGAGAAAAGAACTCTTCTGTCTTCTGGTCTTAACTGGATAAGGATGATGCCAACAGTAGCCACACCACACAGGGGGCTCAAAGCTGGTCTGTGCTGAGTACTGCTTGTCTGCCAGCTCACTGTGCCCTCCTGAAACCCAGAAGGAAATTCCTTGTGTCCTCATTTCGCAAGTTAGGAAACCAAGGCTCCCATAGCCTGTGAACTTGAGTCCAAAGAGAAGACTTAGTGACTCCCCATCCCTGGTCCTTTGGCTTTCAGCAAGCCTGTTCTTTGGGCCAGCAGCAGTGGGGACAATGGGTAGGGCTGAGAAAGTGTTCTGGGAGAGGAAGGTTGTCCTGAGCCTACTCACCCACCTGTGACTCACCTGCTCAGGCCTTCAAGGGATCTGGGGACAGCCTGGCCCAGGTATAGAAGTAAAGCGTGGCTCTGTGCTGAGTTGCCTGAAACAGGAACCCCTCTGGGTCCCAGCTGGTTTCTCAGGTGAAACCACTGCTTTAGCTGATGTCTGGGAGTCCTGTAGGCCTGGGCACTGCCACCAGTAACGGCCCTGTCATAGATGGCCCCAGGGGAGAAGGCAGGCATGTGTGCTCTGGTGTGATAGGAAGAGGTCTCTGTGCTAGTGGCATAGGACTGGAGTGTGTCCCCTGCACCCATCTTCTGCCTAGGGACCCAACACCTAACAGAAGCAACTGTGCTGAAGAAAGAGGGTTCAGAGGAGGGGGAAGGGACTAAATGGGAGGGGCTGGGCTTCTGGGTGGGGAGCATGGGTGCAGTCAGGGTCTCTTCTTCAGGGCCCTCCCCCCATAGAGCTCCAGTGCAAGCTGGAAGAAGACAGCACCCAACCTGGCACCCAGAAAAAACAGAAGAGTTGGAGAAGTGCCCCACTAAAGTAGTACTTCCTTTCATCCTGTGGAAGTAGCTACATTTCCACTGTGGGACCTTTTCCTCCTTCTTCTGAGTTTCAAGAAGGACACTTCTTAGTGTGGGGTCTTGTGCAGGCTCTTGACCTTGGCTGCCACTCATCTCAGGCCCCTCCTCATGTCATCATCATCATCTTTCTCCTCCTCCTCATTTTTGCAGTTTTTCTGAGTGACTTAATAGTAACAATCACAGTAATAGTGATCAATCCACACACACTCCCCAAGGTACCACCTGCTGCCCAGAGCACTTTAAAGGCCTGGGGATGCACAGTAGGGCACAACCAAAGGGCCCTTTCACCTCAGAGCTGTTACCTGCAGGGAGAGACATAGGCACTAAAGGAAGCTGTCACTAATCTCAAGTGTGTGTGTGTGTGTGTGTGTGTGTGTGTGTGTGTGTGTGTGTGTGTATGATTTCAGATGGAAGGCAGGTTGAGCAGGAGATGGCGAGGTCAGTAAAACTCAGAGAGGTCAGGCCCAAGGTGTCCCTCTAGGGGCCTGAGAGGGTGCTCCTGGGGTACTTGAAGAGGTGAGAAAGTTCAGGGTTCTCAGATCTCACATTGCTTTCCCTCCCCAACCCAAGTGGCAGAGAACAGCAGTCCAGGGCCAGTGTTAGGGGTTTAGGGGAGGCTGTGACTCCCAAGTCAGGGCTCTGCCTCACCTCAGAGGACCTTAGAAGACAGGCCTTCTTCTGGCTGAGGCTCCAGGATATTTGGGAGCCCCTGTGGACTGGGACCTCCTCCTGTCCTCCCTCCCCACCTGGTTCTCCCATGACCCACTTTCCCTGAGCTCTGGAGCCAGACAGGGCCTTGGTTTCCAGAGAATTAAGGCCTCACAATCATGTGTTTGTTGGATCATGTGGTACCCCTGTCTGTCCCCAAGGCTAGAAGCTGTGAAGCCAGTGGACCTCTGAGCTGTCCATCCTGAGAACCTTGGGCAAGGCAGAGGTGGGGCAAGAGGTGACAACAAG